TTCATTTTCATAGTTCACCCCATTCTCGTTCTCATTCTAACACTTGGCTCTTCTTCCATCCAGCGCCAACCAACACGTCATTAAGAGCTGTGTACCACAGCAGCGGCGACTGCTTTAGCCCATAGAGACTCTTCAGCAGCTTGCACACCCGGCCGGTCCCGTCGTTGAAGTAGTCCGGCTGGTACATGTACAGCACGCGGTGGAGCTTGCTCTGCAAAAAGGCGTTCTTCATGTCCAGCTGCATCAGGTTGAAGTCGAGGACGGCGACGATGCTGAGGAAAATCCTCAGCATGACGTAGCTGCTCACCGGCGCGTACGTCTCGTCGTAGTCGGCGCCATACACCTGCGTGAAGCCTTTCACGACCAGCCTCGCCTTCTCGCGCTCGACAGTGTCGTCGATGTGGTACTTCGTCGTCAGCACCCACCGGTTTTTCATGATGTTCACCCCCGACGGGCGTTCGACCAGCTCCCAAGTGCCCATGTTGATGAGGCTGCGAATCTCCTCCTCCATGGCGGCCTTCACCGCCGGGCCCTTCCAGCTCGCCAACGCCTCCTTCACCGTCATGGTCGAAATGTCCCAACGGTGCTCGGGGTCGGCATCCATGTCGGGGTCGAGCTCCGCAAACTCCTCATCCTCCTCGGCATCATCATACGCCAGGTCGTCGTCATCCACATCGTACACCGTGGTGAAGGCAGCGGGGACGAAGAAGTCGGCTGGCCTCCGAATTCGGCCCGACTTCCGAGGTCCAGGCTGAACCTCCACCACTTCGCTGTTGGTGGACTTTTCGCGGTCCCGCGGTCCCGCGGCCCCCAGCGTTCCCGCGGTCCCGCGGTTCCCGCGGCTACTGCCCTCAGCGTCCGGCTGCACCACGGTCGGCGACACTGCCAACTGCTCCCCTGTCGTCAGCTCCCCTGCCGATTGCTCCGCGGTTGGCTTAGCTGCTGCGTGTTCCCCTGTCAGCTGCCTGCTAGCCGCGGGCTCCTCCGCGGTCTCCTCCGCGGTCTCCTCCGCGGTTTCCTCCGCGGTGTCCTCCGCGATTTCCTCCGCGGTCTCTTCCGCGGTTTCCTCCGCGGTCTCTAAAGTTGGTTGCACCTCCGCGGCCCGCTTCTCCGCGACTGGCTGGGCGTCACGTCGGCCACCGGCGATGCTCTTGGCCGGCGCCACAGGCGACGCCCCACGGCTCCCCTCATCGCCGGAGGCCGACACCGGAGTCAGGCCACGCAGGTCGACGGGAAGGGGATGGGAAGAAGGGGCAGGAGATGGCGAGGCAGGGGCGACCGCGACATCCTCATCAGCCTGCTCACCGACCTCGGCGAGCAGAGGAAGCGTCGCCGTCGAGGTGTCCGTCGGCGGGTTGGCCCGCGTCCGCCCCGACTCTGGCCCGAGGTTTGACTTCCACACCTCCAGTGACAGAGTTTCGTAGAACACCACGTCCGACGTGGTGACCACCCGGTTGGCGGTGATGCCGAGGAGCTCCCAGCCTTTGCTCTCCGCCGACACGCCGAGGTGAAGGCCCCACCGGGCCTTCGGCTTCAGCTTCCCACCGCGCTGCTGCTCAGGGACGAGGAATTGCGCCATGCAGCCCCACACTCGCGCCATCGACAAGTCGGGCTTCTGCCCGGTGAGGAGCTGGTACGGCGTCGTTCCCGCGGGTAGCGACGACTGCTCCAGGCAGTTGCGAACCCAGACGGCCTGCCGCAGAGCGAGATGCCACCAGTGGTGCTGCACGCCCATGTGCAGCAGCATCGTCCGCACCGACTCCACCACCGTCCTCATCTCCCGCTCCGCCATGCCATTCTGCTGCGGGGTGTAGGGGCAGGTCAAGTCGTGGACGATGCCCTTGCTGTCCACGAAGGCGGTGAAGTCCTTCCCGAGGAACTCCCCTCCGCGGTCAGAACGCAGTTGCAGAACCGAATGCTTCGCCTGCCGCTCCACCAGCACCAGCCACTTCTGGAACTCCAGCAGCACGTCAGACTTCTTGGCGACCGGCCTCACCCACACGTAGCGGGTCTTGCGGTCCTTCAGCAGCAGGAAATACAGGCTGCCGTCCTTGGCAGCCACGCGAAATGGCCCGCACAAGTCAATGTGCACGACGGCCAGGACGTCGTCGGCCTCGGAGCCGTGGTCGGGGAAGGTGTGCCGCGCCAGCTTCCCGCCGACACACGAAACACACGGTGAGTCGGCGCCAGACGCCGACTTGAGGTCCAGCCCAGTGGCGACCTCGTGCTTAGCCGAGCTCCGTAGCCAACATGCGCAAGCCTCGCGTGCAGCCTGTCCGGGGTTGCCTTCGTCGCCGAGACTATCGCCCGCAGAGCCACCTCCTCTTTCGCGGGCGTCGTCGACTCTACCGCGCATGGGCGCAGGTCAGTGCAGAGGACCCGGCCGGTGTATGTCGCGCGACCGAGCACGTCCCCCGCCGCGGAGACGAGCAACATCCGGTCGCCGTCGTCCTTCAGCGTCACCCCGCTCTCCTTCAGCTGGCCAGCCGAAAGCAGGTTTGCCTGTACGCCCGGGACGTAGAGAACGTCGGAGATGAGTACCCGCTTTCCGGCCTTCCCTTGCAGTGCAACCGTGCCACGGTCACGAACGTCCTGCAGCGCCCCATTGAAGCCGCGCACGTGCTTCACGTCGCCGCTCGGCCCCAAGTCGACGAAGGCCTCGTTCGTCCCCATCAGGTGGTGCGAGCAGCCGCTGTCGAGCAGGACCACCGCGGGGTTCGCTTGCAGAGCTGCCGCCACTGCCTGGAAATCCTCGCCAGCTTCCGGCGCCAGCGAGACGGTCGGCTCTACGATACCGACCAGCGAGCACGACGCCTCCTTGTCGCCTCGCCCTTTGCCACCCGCGGAAGAGTCGGCGTCCTTCGCCGAGGTCGACTTCGTCGACTGCTTCTCCTTTCGCGGCTGGTTTCCTCGACGCGGACGACGGCTGCCAGACCTCCCGCGGCCTCCCTTGGTTTCGTCCTTGTCCGAGTCACTGCGGTCGGGACACTCGAAGGAGAGGTGATCGGGATCGCCGCACAGCCAGCATTCACGACGTCGACCTCCTCCTCCACGACCGCCATCCTTGGCCGACTTGTTCTTGTCAGCGTCCTTCGCCAGCTTCCCGCCACCGCGGTGACTGCCACTAAACTGCCCGCGCTGTCCCGGTCGACCACCTTGCTTCGCCGGGGCGACGTAGTTCACTTGCGCGAGGAGCTCCTGGGACCGCTCAGCCTCCTGCATCGCCTCATCCTGCAGGATGTACGAGGTCAATGTGTCCGTGTTGAGAGTCGCCCGCGTGCTCGGTGCCATCGACAGCCGCTTCAGCAGGTTATAGCTGCTCGGGAGTCCCTGCATGACGTGTGTGACGTACGACGACGTTGAGTACTCCGCGTTAGCCATCCGAATGGTGGCGAGAATTCGCCGAGCTCGGTTGCAGTAGTTAGTCGCGGTCTCCTCGTCGCCCATACGCAGGTGCGTCAACTGCCCCTCAAGCTGGGAGATGAACAAGTCGTCGGTGACCTGGTAAGTTGACTCGATGAAATGCCACGCCCGGTGGCCAGCGTCGAGGTACTTCCTGCACGACTTCAGGGCGATCTGTACGCCCGGCGAGCAGCACCGCGAAATGACCGTAAAGGTCAGCAACTGCACGGCGCGAAACTCTGCTCGCAGGTCGGGGTGGTGCTCCTCTGGCGTCGCCACGGTCCCGCGGGCGAAGCCCATCAGCCCGGCCATCTCCAGCTTGGGCTCGATGGCTTCCTTCCACGTGAGGATGTCGGGACGACCGACCAGCAGAGGGGTGACCGAGATCCTGTCCGGCGTAAACTTGAAGTAGCCGTAGCTCGGCGCAATTCCTCCCGCGGTCACGTGTGTCGCCGACATCGGCGCCAATTCACTTCGTCTGCCTCCGACGTAGCCCCGCGAGGCCCCTGCAGCCGCGAACGACTGCATCCCTCGCGCCTGAACGCCGCCGACTTCATCGGCGTGAATCACACCTCGCTGCCTCGACGTGCCTCCCGCGCTGCTGCCGACTTGGCCACCACCCGCGTTGACGTCCGCGTCGACGCCACCCGCGTTGTTCACTGGTCGAAGAGACGCCGGTCGGGAAGGGTGCTCCGTCGCCCACACGGCGCGGATGCCAGCCTCGACGACCGTCAGCGGGAGAGTTCCATACTCGTTCGCCGCATGACGTCTCCTCGCGTCCTCCAGCTGTGCCTCCAGGGTTTCCACAACGCCCGCTTCTACTACGGGGTCAACCATGGCGTCCAGCACAGCCGCCGGTCTACGAACTAGTTAGGTGAGTGAGAAGTCAGCTAAACCGAAGGTGTCTTCGCGGTGTCGTCCACGCTCACCGCACCATGCGGAGATAACTTTAGCAACGGGAGCTAGACTGCGGGCTAGGCACGGATGCTCGTGTGATCTCTGCGTTCGTTCGTTCCTTAGTCGTTTCCAAGTGCTAACACTACTTGCTAGTTCACGGGGAAAATTGGCAAGAGTTTCACTAGGAAAACATGACCACAAAAGTTCAGAATGTTTGCATCAACATTGGCAACACAGACTACATCAGACCTAGCAAGGCTGCTGGTCGACTGCCAGCGCAGCACGGTCGACCGCGTGCCAGCACGACTTGGTCGACCGCGCTCCAGCAGAGCAGAGTCGCGGCTTGCCAACGTTGCAAGTCCGCGGTGTGCCAACGCTGCAGTAAGTCGGCTGCACAGCGTTGCACCCGCCTGACAATGGTGCACCATCTTCGCAGGTGCGTGCAGCTGGTTGGTGCCCAACTCCCCGTCACATGCCCAGCGCAGACACTCCACCCGTGACGGCGCCCACCAGCCACGTCGACCTCGGGATACCACCCCCGAGGTCGTTCTCGCAGAAAACACCCCCGGCGACTTTCGCCCACGTCGCCCGGGTATCCTGGTCGACCGGGTATCCCGCGGCCCCCGTGGCCCCCGGTCGTCCATCCGCGGCCACCGCGGTCCCCGCGGTCGGCTCCGCCCAAGCGAGGACGGGGCAAAACACTACTCCCGTTGACACTCCTCCTCCTCCTCCTCCTCCTCCTCCTCCTCCTCCTCCTCCTCCTCCTCCTCCGCCTCCTCCTCCCCCTCCTCCTCTTCCCCCTCCTCCTCCTCCTCCTCCTCCTCCTCCTCCTCCTCCTCCGCCGCGGCACCCTCGCCATCCCCTACCTCAGCCATCTCCACACGGGAATTAGCACGCACTCCCCGCAGCTCCGTTCCCACCCTGAAGCTGTGAACCGACCCGGGGAGTGGCAAGGAAACTTCCCCAAACCTGGCCGGTGGATCAGGCGTGGGAGCACCTTGCGGGCCACCCAATGTCGGCCCCTCTTGGTGCTCTCTGACGGCCCCATTGCGGGGCTGGCCGTGATTCGACATGCTTGATGTTTTGTTAAGTTAAGTGCACCAATTCTTGGAGGAAGTGGCTAAAAAACGGAATGCTCCCCTCTTTAGCAAAATAAATAAATTATGCGCAGTGTACTATCTAACGTAACACCTAAACGTCTGACGCATCTTAAGAGGGAGTTGTAGTGAATGAATGGTAGTGTGGGAGCTTGGGTGTGGAACTTAGGAGCAGATCTAGATCTGCTCTACCTAACGTACGATCGTATGGTTGGCTGCCGTGAAATGGCAGCCAACCCTACGACTTTCCCGATTTTGACGGGAAAGTTGAGTGGGTTCTGGCGGGGTTTAATTCGAACCCCGCGAAGTTTGAAAATTGCTGTTTCAAACTTCGAACCTGTTCGGTTGTAAGTTCGAAACTCGTACCATAAAGGTTCGCGCGAACTTTTTCAGGGTTTGCGCGAACTTATTTCAAGAGAAAAATAAATCGTTTCGTTTTAATTCGAACCGGTTCGAGCGAACCGAACCTAGGTTCGGTTCGTTGCTCATGTCTACTTGTGAGTGCTGTCAGAACTGAGCTTGAATTGATTGATTAAGAAAGGAGGCACTAGGCCTGAAGTACAAACAAGGTTGGGTTGAGCAAAGCTAGGGAAAGGATGGGATGGGAATCCAAACAAATCTCCAATGATGAGTTGGCAGATTTGTTGGATTACGGGGGAATCCCGACCAGATAGCGTTGGGATTACAAATCTACACCCAACCTACAAATAACCTACAACATATAAAATAGAGTACACAAAGTGTTGACAGCCTATTTCTAACAAGTCCCATGCATTAGCTCCACACCAACCACCTCCAGTGTGTGCTAGGACTGAAGACGACTCAGTGCTTCCTACCGACCAGCCCCTCCCAGCCCCTACCAGCCCCTCCCAGCCCCTTCCAGCCTCTACCAGCCCCTCCTAGGCCGTTGTAGAAGTCTGAGAAACCACATGACATCACCTTGCCTGCTCTTTTTCCACTCGTGGACAATGTTTTACTTCCAACGCACAAATTTATATGGAGATAGTTCCGAGATACAGCACGAAGTGCATGCATGATGGGTGCAGCAGTTATCAGCAGACGAGGATCCTTTGTGAATGTACAGAGCCTCAGATTAGAAAAACGAGAGACAGAGCTAGAAAAAATATCACAAGAAGCCAAATATCTAAGGGCCTGGATGGAGGTCGGCTTTGGTCCTGGAACAGCTGTTACAGGGGTGAAAAGTTGAACTTTAGTGGGAGCATAGTGGAAGAGAGGTGACTATAAGGGGCGAATTGCAGTGAAAATCAACAACGTCCACTGATAGCCAAGCATTTATTGCGAAGGGAGAATCAACAACGTTACCAGATCATGTGCAAACAAGTTGTGGTTAATGAACCGTTCTCAAATCACACGTTGCTTGTTGTTTTTGTTGTTCTAAATGGCAGTGACACATTTGGCAACGGTCTGGTCGGGTCTCTCCCAGACTACTGGTCTTCATTGGATCACCTTACTTACTTGTGAGTCTCATTCTGTGTGAATTACAATTCGTTGTGAGCCCCCCCCCCCCCCCCCCCCCCCCATCCCATCTCGTGTGAGCATTGCTTCGGCGTGCCTACGTATTTATTGCACTTGACAGTTTTGGCTTTCGCGTTTGTATCGGTCCATCATCCATGACCCTTTCACCATCCATTTCTTGCCCACGTTTCCTACAGCAAACCTACTCATATGTCGTCATAAGGTCACATTGCCTTTTGTTATAACTTCTCATCAATGCACCTACCTTTTCATTCATACCTTCTTTTCGCATTGCATCTTCCTTGTCCAGTGGTGTCTGTCTCTCGTTGTGTCACCATCATGTTTTGCGGTGCCTTCCTGAAATTCATAACCATGTGTTTTCTCACAGATCCTTTCACTACAACAGGATTGAGGGTTCCATCCCATCAACATTCAATGCTCTCACAGCGCTGAGCACACTGTAGGCATGAGCACAGGCCGATCAATCGTCTGGGCCTGCACAGGTCACACATAGTCAAGCCAGATGTCGTGTTGGGTCAAACTCGAGCCGGCTCAAGTCGAGCTGCATTCCCCCCCAGCCGGCTCGTGGTTCGTTCTTGGAAAGTCGGGGTGCTTGTGAAGAAACAGACGTGACTATTAAACTCACGAGGAGCCTTACATGTAGCTGTGGAAGTTCAGGGGCTCGAACTCAGCCAGGAGTTATTCGAGGCTTGTTAGTTCATTTGGAGCTTGGAACTTGGAACTTGGAAAAGCCACCCTCAACTAGGATAGACCTTAACGTGCACCCAAAATAGGTATTTGAAGCAACGTAAGAGTGGCCCCTCCCCCCTATTTTTTCCTGCACTCCTCTTTCTTTCCCCCCAATGTTTCCTTCAAAAACCCACCCATGCATGTGAGCAAGGTTGCTGAGGAACAACTCAATGGACGGCACCATCCCCCCTGTCCTCTCCACTACTCTGAAGGCATTGTATGCCAAATTCTCGCCCCCATGCTCATCCCCACCTTCCCTTTGTCTTCCCCATGATCTTTATGTCCTCTCTCATTCGTACTGCAATGTATCGCTTCTTAATCTGGTTTTCTTGTCGTTCCTTTGCGGTTCTGGGCAGTTGCTAAGCCGTTTTCTCAACAATTTTACCACATGCGCTTCTCCCCTCTTCTGTTGTTCAGGGATCTTTCCATGAATCACTTCTCTGGCATCATTCCACCCTTTCTTGAAGCATTGTCCGACCTCACATCCTTGTGAGTATTTATCCATGTGTTGTGAGTATTCATTGATATGCCACAAGTGTCCGTCCATACATTGTAACTTGTAAATTCATCCATATACCAAACCATACATTCATCCTGCAGCGCCATTCCTTGTATCATAGAACCGTACTCTTGATGCGTCGGCTTTTGGGGCGCCTCTCAAAGGGTCCATTCCAGCTCTTGATGTGTCTAATAGTTTCCAATAGTTCCACTTTCAGCAATTCTCCTCTCGCCCCTCTCACCATTCCTCTTCTCGCCCCTCCATTCCTCAAGGGACCTATCAATGAATAACTTCTCAGGGGCCGTGCCAAACTTGCTCACCAGCCTCGTGAATGTGATATTTTTGTAAGCATGTTCGTTCACTCACAGCCACAAAGCAACGCGCGCAGGAGAGGGCTAGTAGTTGTGTCTACATGTAGAAGAATATACTTCTCTGCCATTTCCTCCTGCCCTCTTTCACCATCAGTCTGGTCCCAAGGGGTGGTGTTCCCCGTAGTATGAAAAATACGACCGTATAACCCGGCCGTGTTTTTTACTGAAACAAAAAACACCGCCTGCGACGTTTTAAACTGTTTAAACAATATCGTTTTTTGCGGTGTAACACCAACCCGTAAAAGCTACAACTATTATTGTACAAGTACAAACAGTTGAGATTGAAGTCCAACTCAAACAGGTACTAGGTAGCCTTTCTTTTTAGCCGCCCTCAAGGAGATAGGTTAAAGTTGCAGGGCGGTCTGATCTGCCAAGCTCGACAGCCGTTTCAAGGTTAAAATTTCCGGTCAATCTGCAGGATAGATTTGGAATGCGGTGATGGGAGGCGAGTCCTTGGGCAAGGGGAGTGTTGAGAGTTCAGGTCTATGTTGAAGCAGGACCCAGAGCAGCCTTGGAGGATACGCACCCAAGTGGATAGTGCCATTGTTAGTATCCAGGCGAAGGATTTGTGGCTGCTCTATGCGCATGCGAGTCTTGGGCTCGAACGACGTGTGATCGCGTGTGCAGGGTGACAACGCTTCGATTCGACCTTCATTTCCATCCTCCATTCTGTCCTCCTTCGACCCTCCTTGCCCCTTGCTCTCTTGCCTCATGGTGCTTGCTGCTTGGTGCACTTGGCTGTTTTAAGTAGGCCTGCTTCGGTTTGGCTATGGCCCGAATCACAGCCCTGGTTTGCGAATTTGGCCCAGGCCCTACTCATGCAGATTCCGTCATCCATCATCTTTCCTTAACCTTGCTCTTGCCTCTCAATGCCTGGTGCCTTGTGTGCCTGGCTGTTTCAGATATATCCAATCTAACCAGTTAAGCTCAGGGCTCGAGATCTTAGGCAAGATGACATGGCTGATTTCATTGTACGTTGCTTAAATTGTGAGGGTCGTAAAAAAAGAAAAACTAACTGTAGGACTTGGTATGCTGGCTTTGGCTTCTTTCTGGCATTATTTGCCGCTCAAAGCTGTGAGCTCTGAACCCATCAATACACGATACATCGAGAACTAAGCACAACATTCTGGAATTGCGTTGCAAGCCTTGCAGTTTCTCGGTATCAAGCCTTTCCATTTCCTTTTCCATTACCATCCATTGGTGCTGTTTTCTCCAAGAGAACGTGATGCACATGAGTTTGTTTTGATTGCTGTCATACACGTGGTGTGCCTGCAGAGACGTGTCCTTAAACAAATTTACACATGGCTATTCAAGCCTTTCCTCCCTTTCACAACTCAATGTTTTGTAAGTTGCTTGTTTGCATTGCTATTCTTGTTGTGAGCATGTTGTTGACATGAGCAGAACCCAAGGTGAGTTGTTTTTTGTTTTTGGGCCCGACTCAATCCTTGGCCTAGTAGACGCATTTTTTCTGTCTGTTTTTTCTTTTATATATTTTTTTTTTGTACTGAAAAGGTAAAACGCAACTTGTTAAGCTGTCCACCTGCTTAAACTACGAATTCCCCCTCCCACCCCCCTCACGCAGACCACGAAAGATATATTTGCCTTGCTTGTGCGTACACCAATTTGCCCGGACCTGCGCACAACGGACTAAAAACTAGCATAGTAATGGCACAAGGGACGGTAAGTAGAGGACATAAGAAAATAATTGAACATTTTGAATAGATAACACGTATCAGATCTGGCATCTTAGATGAGCAATGGCATACGAATTAAGCAGCAGGATTTAGTTGGTGAGCAATGGCATACAAATTAAGTAGTTGGACGACCGGATACAACCACCAAAGTTGAATAGTAG